ATTTAAGCTATCCGGGTCAAAGATAACAAAATTTAAAAGAACTTTTCTCGAAAACTTTGCAAGTTCGTAGAAACTGTGAAAAATATTCGCAATGAGTTTTCTGTTTTGTCGCACCGTGAACAATTTCATATCGCTGGTATCGAGTGAAGTCAATTCATCGTGTTTGATACACTGAGAGTTTAAAAGGGGTTAATAATTATTGTGGTTTAGTGTCCCCATTAAAGCAGTACTTCATAATGTTAGAGCTAACAAAAAAGCGTGTTGTTCTACGATATCCGACGGGTAGAACGGTTCAAGTTTGTCACAGAAAAAATACCGCAAACCAAATGTTTAACTGAATATTTGACATGAATTGGACGAGTCTGTTTAAAAAATTATTTGTATCTCTTCGCTTTGCGTGGTTAGTTTCAAATTGGTTTCTCCAGTCGTCTGGTCACATTTTGTAGAAAAAAGTCTTCTTGCGAATCTTTGGTAAATACACGCAAATTGCTCTAGAAAAATGTTCATAGCTAAGATGAAAACCTTCTTCGATGCAGTTTTTTTTCTGAAGTTTCCGTATTAATTGATTACTGACTTTTGGTCACTTGTTTTTCCCCAAACACCAAAAACAAATGATCTTTTAAGAACGTTTTTCAAAATTATGGATTAGTTGAGTTCTACCAGGAGTACTTACTCTGTCCCGTCAAACTGGTTTGTTCGGGTAAAATTTGGAAAAAATTTGAGTAAAAGTTGAGAGTTTTATTTTATAACAGATCAAGGAAAAAAGACGTTTTGAGAGAACAACTGATTCGTACCAGATTATTGAAAAAAATCAAACTTTCACAAGTTTTTATCAAAATTTTGATTTTTTTTCAACTGCTTTCTTTGAAAACCAAAAATTTTTGCCGTTACTTTTGGTTTCATAAACTTTCTGGAAAAAATCAGAAAAAATTTTGTTGAGTTCATTCACTTATTTTTTTGACAAAATTTATGAATTTGATGTATCTGCTGGGTTGTGAAAAAAATTTTGATTTATTTGTGATTTTTTAATTTGTTTGTTTTTTCAAAATATTTGATTGTTTCATCAAAAAGTTGATCAATTTGAAGTTATTTTTGAGTTAAGAAATTTGTAGTTGTTTCATAAGTAGATTTTTTTCATAAGTAAAAAAACAGTCGGTCGATTTTTTTGTTGAAGTATGACGTCTCCGAGAGAGAGAATATTGCTTGCATTTGATATGTGAGGGCAAAAAAAGGTGGAGATTTTATCGACCACCAGATAAAAGTTCTAATTATGGTCCCATGAAAAAATGCAAACATTTCTAAATGTTGGTCGGATTCTGGCGATCGAAAAAACGACAGAAGAACTGAAGCAACAAATTTTTGATTATATCTTGTAAGTTACATTTTGTTGTTATTGAGTAAAAATAAATGCAGTTATTTTGCATCCAAATAGAAACTATTTAGAGGTACAACTTGGCGAGTGTTCATCAGCAACTGTTAACCAAAGAAGATGTGTAACAATTGTTTTCAAATTAGATGTGCCTGTCAGTGATAGGATGTTTCATTTCAATTTTGTTTAGGTTTATTAAAATGATAAAATTCACTCTTAACAAGGCAAATTCTGGAATTGTAAGTATGTTTTATCGTTTGGAAACTGTTCCATGAATTTGTACACTACAATTTCCTTTTGTTTTGCATTTTTACAAATGTAATCCATAAAAACTCTCAATTTTTAAATCGTATATATACCCTAACTATTTACCATAATGAGGATCATCAACCGTTTCATCTACATTATCTATAAATTAAGTGTAAAAAAAATAAAATCAAAATGTTCGTACGCATTTTCGTTAAGCTTATACATGTTGCTTTGAAGAAAAGGAATCACATTTGAAAATACGCACAATGAATGAATTTAATTCATTTCAAAACAAATAGACTACAGTAAATTTCAGTGATTCAAAAAAGTTTAGCTTGAATTGAAAACTATAGTGATTCAAAACCCTAAATATAGCTTTTAGTGCTGGTACGGACAGTTTATGTCTCCTGCAACATAATTTACTGCGTAAACATGTTTGGTCATAAAAGTTTTATTGATTGTCTTCAAACTACTTCAATGATAAGTTTTTTTATTCACAAAAGAACTGAAAAGAAATGTTGGATTTAAAAATTATTTGTTTTATATAAGTCATTTTAATTAATAATAAGACTTACAATTTTTACAACATTTAAAAAAACCAGTCGGATTCTTTTTGTAGCGAGGGGGTTTTGCTTGCATTTGCGGTTTAATAGCAAAACGAAGAAGAGAGTTTATCTACCACCAGAGATTAGTGAGTTTTCTTTTAGTCCTATAAATATTTGCAAACGTTTCTATATGCTGGTCGGTTTCTGGCTCTCGAAAAAAAAAACGATAGAAAAGCTAAAACTTTTTCTTAAAAATAATTTGTATATTACGTTCCGTTTTTATTGCTTGAAACCAATTAAACCTATTATGCGTTTGGTGATAAACTGTTTAAAAGTACAACTTGGCGAGAGTTCACCAGTAACTTCTAACCAACAAAGATGTGTAAAAATAAATTTCTTTTTAAATGTGAATGCCTGTGAATGACAAAATGTTATCATTTTCAATGTTTTTTTTAGGTTTAATAAAACGATAAATTCCACTAAAAAGATGGCAAATACGGAATTGTAAGTATGTTCCATCGTTTTGAGAATGTAGTACAAAGTAATACACTAAAATTTATTTTAGTTTAATTTTTTTTTGCAAATGGAATCCATTAAAACTTTCAGTGCTCAAATTGTTTTTATATACTCCAACTTTTTACCATAATTAAAATCATCAACTGTTTTATATCATCATCTATGAATCTAGTTCAATTGAAATTAAAATTAAATTGCTCGTACAACTTGTCGCTAATATTAATCGAGTTGAATTGAAGAAAAATAAAGAATCACATTTGATAAGAAACGCACAATGAATGAGTTAAATGGGTTAAATCTAAAACCTAAATTTTTATTCTAAATCTTTACTTTAATTCAATTTTAAATTCAGATCATCAAGGCTTCCCTTGGAACACTTGATAAAACTACTTCCACCTCTTAAATTAAAGTAAAGGTTTCGAATAAAAATTAGGATTTAGATTTAAGGTTAAAGTTTAAAAATCCAAGGAAAGCCTTGACGATCTGGGTTTAAATAAATAAAATTGTGATCTGAATTAATTAGGGATAAGCCTTGATACAACATGATTTAAAAATGGTTAACAATCCAAGAAAAGTCTTGATGATCTCGATTTGAAATTGAGTTAGTTGTTTAGAAATTCTTTTGGTTGTTTAATGTGAAGAAGAACAATAACAAAACGGGTCCTCGAAAAGCCAGGAACCAAAAGTTTTAAAAGAAATTAATTATTAAAAATTATCAACTAACAATTTTTTTGTGTTTTAAGTTCAATAAACATTGAAATTTGAAAGACCGTTGTTTTTGTTTACTAGACAAGTTGCGACACTGTCAAAACAACAGTTTCAATTAGATTTCTTAATTATTATAGATGCTTTTAGGACATGGAAGCTTGAAGCTCGCGTGAAGATAGTTTGCGACCAATGTGTTTCGTTATATTTGCAAATTTCCTCAAAATGTATCAATTTAGTTTTCAATCATGCTCAACATGTTTTCAACTCTCTTCTTGTATCTGAAATAGAAAAAATCGCTCCCTTCACCTCGACAAAACAAACGGGAAAATTTTACTGCTTAATAACCTTTATGTATGAGAAATGATCATGATTGACAGACACGAGCTCCTCATTCTTTAGGTTTTTCCAAGTTCTCGCAGAATGGAAAGGAACTAAAGCAATGGTTGAGTTTTTTTGACCGTTTTCGACGACCTTATAGAAGGCTCGTACGTTTCGAGTTCTGAACACACGTTTACCAAACAGCGTATATTTAGAGACTTATGCATAAAGCTTTACTTCAGGCGTTTTTCAGCATAGCATGACAAACCAATCAATATGTTTTAAAAATTCAAAAGTAAAAAAGTTCAAAATGGTAATTTGGCTATTATCACCACAAATTCAGCATTTTGTCTTCTATCTTTATACCCGTTTTTAGCTAAACAAGTTAATTCCAAAAAGATAACAAAAAACTGGAACAGTGGCGGATTTGTAGTGGGGAGGGGCGGGGGGTGGCGGACGCTTTCCTTTCAGGGGTTCGACCCCCTGCTGATCCAAAGAGTCCCTTCTTTGTACTATTTTGAGATATCCATATTTGGCGACTGACCCTAAAAATTTTCAAAAAGGCGTCTTTGGCGCCAATATATACTAATTTTGAGGGGAACTAATTTTTGTGATACTAAATTTTCACCCAAACAGGGTCTTTTCAGTGCTTTGGGAGAGCTCGGAAATTCACTTTGCTCGACCTAAAAAAAAGGTCGACAAACTTTTTTGAAATATGCCCCCCCACCCCTCGAGAAAATCCTACATCCGCCCATGAACTGGAAAAAAACGGAACAAATTTTTTTACGTCAGATGTTTAACTTTTTGCTTTGTTTTTGATTTTTTTTTCTTAATTCAAATTTATTATGTTCAGAACATTCTGTGCTATCTTGTTTTGGTTATGGAATCTTTTACTTGAGTTGACATCATTTTGTACAGAGACAGATGATGTTATCTAGAGAGACAGGTTCTTATGGCATGATAACCGATGGCCGATATTCTTGTTTCATGCTATGATATATACACTCAAATTAGACTTAGTATCTAAACTAGACTTATTATCTAAACTAGGAAATTGTGAAGCTTTCAATAGGGATGTATCATATACCTGGATTTTTATTAGAACCTAAAGAGAAAATTTGATGACACTTCTTGTTTGGATGGTACTTTTCATCTTCATTTTAGGGTGAAACAACAGTTAGCTGAACGCCAATGACTTTGTATTTTGAGATGTGGACAATGTTTACTTGGTAATCATTCTACAGCTTTTTAGTTCTGAAATAGCGCAACATGAAATTTAACAGCAATCAGATCCATCAAAAGTTTTTCAGAAAAGTTAGTCCTGGCCAGTAATACCAAAAGCTATTTTCCGGACCAGAGTGGTTTGTTTCTTTCCTCGATATGTTCCGTTTCCATTTCACTGAAATATTTCTTTTCCATGCTTCTCGACATTCCAGAAGATCCAGGAGTCTTACTTTTGGTAAGAATATTGGGACTCCTTGACTGCTGAGGGTTATTTTTCCCACCCCCCTGGATCCTGTGATTCTCGAAGATCCACAAGCGCCAGATGTCATCTAAGTAGCGATCAGGTTTCTCACTGGCTGCGACTGGGTGCGAAGTGAGTTCTTTAATGGTCTGCAAACTCAGAGATGTTTTGATATCTGATAGAAGGAAGATCACCACTAAAAACACATAGGATTGTATTTGTATAAAACTTAAAGTTTTAAACAACGTTTTTGGTCCAAGCAGAAGATAAGATACTTCGAATTAAAGTTTTTTTCCGCGTGCAAAATCAGGAATAATGAATACAGTGCTGATTTAAGTTACCCCGACAGAAATAACAACTGAGAACTTCAAACACATTTTTATGGGTTAAGGTAGACAAAAATGGTGAAGGTAATATTTTGTCAGAACTTTAGCATTTATTAAAAAATAGATATATAATTGTTGGGGAAATCGGAAATCGGACTGTTTTTTGGCTCGGTTCGTTTAGTTCAGGTTAATGCAAAAACTATCATGCATATTACTCCAAACGCGTTCAAAAAATTGTTTTAAAACAAAAAATGACATTTAAAAATGTTGGAATTGTTTTTTTTTCTTCAAATTTTAACTTTTTTCTGTTTTTTTTTGTGTATTTTAATCAGCACTGTATCATACAGGGATCATTTTCTCGGTCACGGTTGGATTGCTTGATTCTGCAACAAAACAGATGGCTTAAAACTGTCAACTGTAGTTTTCCTTTGAAAAACACCGATCAAATAAAAGTGAGAGTCGAGATGAGAACGCAATAAAATCCTGCTGAGACCTAATTTTTCAACTTTTTTTGCGATGACTTTCGATAATTTTGTCATTCGAAAACTTTGCAAGATCTAAAAAAGATGCATCATCTTTAAATTACCCAAAAATTTTTTTGTACTTTTCTAAGCGAAAAATTAAGTTTATATAATCTAAAGTTGTCATAAACGTAGAGGCTCCTGGATATACAAAAGTTGCATATTTTCTATACAAAATTGCCATTTTTCTGAATCACTTCTATCGAAATCGTTCAAAAACCTTTTTTGTTGTTGTGCATCTTTTTGTATGCCCTGGGCAATGAATTAGGAATTCAAATTTTTTGACAAGGACAGCCAGTTATTGTGCAAGTAGCAGGAAATGTTCCAAACATATTCATTAAAAAAAAAGAAAAAAAAAATTAATAGAAATTTTCTTCAATTCTAAATTTCCTTCGATTTTAGTGGATGGTGAGATTTTCGAGAATTATACTACAATCACGTAGAGAATTAGTAATTTACACTTTCTAAAACATTCAGACCCTTTTTAATTATAAGCGTTCAAACTCAAGTCTTACCATATGGTATTAATGACCTCGAAATGCCTTTCTTGAACCCCATGTCGCTGAGAGTTACCTAAAAAAAAGAGAAATGAAAACGCATAACAAATGAACGGGTAGGGCCCGATAATTTTAAGCTTTTCGATATGCATGTGCAGGGTCAGACAATTTTAAGTTTTACGGTATGCACGGGCAGGATTAGATAATTTGCAGTTGTTTAGTATGCACAAGCAGTATCAGTTGATTTTAAGTTTTTCGGTGAGCACGAGCAGGTTCAGATCATTTTAAGTTTTTTCGTATGGATGACGGGCAGAATCAAATACTTTTAAACTTCAAGTGAAAAGTTTTAACAATTTGCCCAGGAACCGTCAATTTGTTCGTATTAGATCAAAACTTTGAATAATTTGTCTGTCTTTTAAGTTTTCTTTATATATTTTGAGCGAAGAATATATAAATAATTATGCAATTTTTCTGAACAGTACTCTTGTTTGAAGTACCATGCGATTAATACTGGTATCCCAAAAACTGCCAGTTCGCATACCCAACTTTTGCTTTTTGAGCTTATTTTTGTTCAAAAAAATCGAGTCTAACACAAAAAGTCAAATCAGAAAAGAGCTGGCACACATATCTGTAAATTTGCACATAGAAAACAGCGATTGGTGTCACACAAGATTAAAGCTATCCGGGTCAAAGATAACAAAATTTAAAAGAACTTTTCTCGAAATGAATTGACAATTGATAAAAAACGATGAGATTAAAAAATGCTTTACTGAGACCCAAATTTTTACCCCAAAAATGGGTCATTTTTGGTTCCTTTCAGTAATCAACAAAATTGCTAAACATATTGCGTCAATTGTTTTGAGTTTAAATGCACAAAAATATAAATCATTTCAAATTAAATTTGTTCAAAAATCAACACTCAATTTTATAATGAACCAAGACTGCTCGTATCAAGGCCAAGCTCTGAATGTTCCGGCGGCCTTATAAATTCTAAGAAGCAGTGTTGTTTGCTTTATAATGATGAAAATTTCAAAAAAGATGAAATTTTTTCTTTTTTCAAAATGGCAATCTTTGAACCCCTGTAACTTTACAAAAAACTATCACAGGTGAAATATTTGAAACAACAATAAATTGTAAGTGATGAGAATATTCTGTCAAAAATGACTAGTTAAAAAATCAAAGAAGCAAATCACCCCGAGCACAAACATTCAGTCACTTTCTTTGAAAGTCCGAACAATTAGTTAGTACGTGCGCTTTTTTAAGACAACCTAAAAAATATTTTACAGCCTCTGTAGCTCTCAAAAAAACTTTTTTTTTCATTCCTTACTTCTTTAAAAAATTTCGATTGCCATAGTGTTTTTTATTCATGTTATAACGCAATTTTATGTATTAAAGTATGAAGAAGAAGTGTGTTCAAAAATGTTAAATTTCTGGTCATACAAAGTTAGTTGAGATAACTCATGTTGTTTGCAAGTCGAAACATACCCGAATTTGGTCGAGCACGGTCGAAACATATCTTGCTAGGTCGAACACGGTCAAGCAATTTTTTTTGGTCGAGCGCAGTCGAAACATACCGAATTTTGATCAAGCACGGTCGAAACATATCTTGCTTGGGTCGAACGCGGTCAATTAAGTTTTTTTTTTTGGATGAGCGCAGTCAAAACATACCGAATTTTGGTCAAGCACGGTCGAAATATACCGAATTTTGGTCGAGACGGTCAAAACATAACAATTTTTGGTCGAGACTGTCGAAATATTAAGTGAGCACCTCGACTCGGGTGAGTTATCTAAAATTAATTTTCAAATTATTCAAACTAAGGAGTTAAGTATAGAAAAATCAAAACAGCAGAAAAGAATTTGCAAAAAAAAGAAAAAGAAATCATTATTAGATATAAATTTTTTAAAGAAAAATCAGTTTTTTAAATTTTTTTTAAACAGAGAACTTAATACTAGCAGTGTTACATTATTTAGGTACTGCAAGTAATTATTTTAACATTATTTAGCTTATTTTAAGAGATTAATTACATAGATAGACATACTCTCGCAAGGGTACCGATTATTCAAGCTCATGTTGGAGGTCCACGTGTAAGCTATTACGTTCACATTCATGTCCGTTTAATTGACTGCAATGGAAATCAATATGAGCAGATGTAAAACTATCTTGGCCTGGATAAGTTTGCTCTTTATATTGTTTTTTCTATCGTTGGTTGGTTTTTTTTAAAACAAAAGTTTCCGGTTTATCGCTTCAATGCAAAAAAAAATTCGAAACATTTTGATAAAATTTTCGTGATTTTTTAATTTTAAGATTATGTTCACAAAATATTTCCATGCAGCAAGTTGATTGGACACTTTATCTCGGATAGTTTTGCAAAATCATTTTGATGCGTAATTTCTACAATAAGAACTAAAAATAAGATAGTGAATAGTTGACGTTGATCAATAAGTGACAGTTTGTATTGTGTTCTGGAAGCGCTCGGAAAATGAATTTGGTCGACAAAGAAACTCGACACATTTTAAAAAAATTTTCTAAAATCCGCACACATTTTTGAAAATTTTTCTAAAATCCGGCACGAGAGGAAAATTGCGCGTCAATCAGTGTTCCCTGCTTAACCTACTGTTACGAATTGACGCTTGTTAGGAATTGTCGAGCAAAAAACAAAAGACAATCTAAAAATTATTTTACAGCCTCTGTAGCTCTCAAAAAAAATTCTTTTTTCAATCCTTACTTCTTTAAAAAGTTTCGATTGCCATAGTGTTTTTTATTCATGTTATAACGCAATTTTATATATTAAAGTATGAAAAAGAATTGTGTTCAAAAATGTTAAATTTCTGGTCATTCAAATTTAGTTGAGATAACTCATGTTGTTTGCAAGTCGAAACATACCCGAATTTGGTCGAGCACGGTCTAAATATATCTTGCTAAGGTCGAACACGGTCAAGCAATTTTTTTTGGTCGAGCGCAGTCGAAACATACCGAATTTTGGTCGAGACGGTCAAAACATAACGATTTTTGGTCGAGACTGTCGAAATATAAAGTGAGCACCTCGACTCGGGTGAGTTATCTAAAATTGATTTTCAAATTATGCAAATTAAGGAGTTAAGTATAGAAAAATCAAAACAGCAGAAAAAAATTTGCAAAAAAAAGAAAAGGAAATCATTATTGGATATACAGTTTTTTAAGAAAAATTCAGTTTTTTAAATTTTTTCTTAAACAGAGAACTTAATACTAGCAGTGTTACATTATTTATGTACTGCAAGTAATTATTTTAACATTAATTAGCTTATTTGAAGAGATTAATTACATAGTTAGACATACTCTCAAAGGGTACCGATTATTCAAGCTCATGTTGAAGGTCCACGTGTGAGCTATTACGTTCACATTCATGTCCGTTTAAATGACTGCAATGAAAATCAATATGAGCAGATGTAAAACTATCTTGGCCTTGATAAGTTTGCTCTTGATATTGTTTTTTCTAACGTTGGTTCGTTTTTTTTAAAACAAAAGTTTCCGGTTTATCGCTTCAATGCAAAAAAAATTGGAAACATTTTGATAAAATTTTCGTGATTTTTTTATTTTAAGATTATGTTCACAAAATATTTTCATGCAGCAAGTTGATTGGACACTTTATCTCGGATAGTTTTGCAAAATCATTTTGATGCGCAATTTCTGCAATGCGAACTAAAAATAAGATAGTGAATAGTCGACGTTGATCAATAAGTGACAGTTTGTATTGTGTTCTGGGGGCAGCAGTTTGTATTGTTTTCGGAAAATGAATTTGGTCGACAAAGAAACTCGACACATTTTTGAACAATTTTCTAAAATCCGCCCGAACATCCGGCACGAGAGGATCATTGCGCGTCAATCAGTGTTCCCTGCTTAATCTACTGTTACGAATTGACGCTTGTTAGGAATTGTCGCCTGTTACGAATTGTCAACGATTTTAGTGATCAGATTAAGCAATGGTCAAACAAAAAAAATACGGTTTTTACTGTTGTTTTTGACTATACAACAAAACTATCCCCCCTCTATTGCAGTAGGGGGAGGGGTGATAATTAACAAGGCATAAAATTCGTATATCCTTATAATACATACACAAAAAGCGGTTCTGTGGAATCCACGACGAAGCAGTCAATACTTTTCACATGCCGACCAAAGTTACTTTCTTGGGAACTCTACCTTCAATCGTATCATATAAATTTTGGCTACTTTGGCGTTCTAAATTATCAGATTGGCATCGTATAATTATTTTTTTTGCAACATATAATAATTTACAGCAACCACATTATTCGAATGAATGTTTTTATGCGTTTGAAACCTACCTGTAAAATCATATTGTAAAATGAAAAAAGTTCGGAGAAATGATGACAACGGATAAGGAGTTAAGCTTTGGCAAATTTCGTAGACTGAAAAAGAGACAATTTTCACGATAAGTAAATTATAAACTTTTGTCTCAAATCAGTTCATTTGTCTTCACTTAATTAATTCTAAAGTTAGATTTGAATGCCAGAAGTTCAAGAATTAATAAGAAGTAAGGACTGAATCTTAGCTTCAAAGATAGTAACAAGAACCTAATTAATTTACAGACAAGAAAAATTGGAGTGTGATGTATAAATCATCATTTTTTGTAACGTGACATGTTAGTAAAATGAAACACTTTTAGCAATTGTTGATCTTTTGGGTGCTTTGTGAGAGCTCGGAAAATCAATTTGGTCGACCTAAAAAAAATTTTTGAAAATTTTTCATTTTTTTGAAAGTTTTGTGATATTGCTTTGCGATGCATCATGTTGCTTGCAAAAAATCACGCCCAAAACAAAGTTCTGGTCCTTTTTTGTTGGTAGAAATGATACAACTATGGGAATAGCTCGAATAAATGTTTCACTTATTTTTGAAATTTGTATCCAACATATCTCAACTTCAATAACTACAATTTTTTCATTGAGTTTTATTATAAATTCTTTGAAAAATGATAGAGTTTTTGAGGTTGACTTGGTCGAATTCAAATTCAGAGTCCTTTGATACATTGAGGAGAGCAAAAAAAAACAATCATGAAAAAGAAAAAACATAGAACTTATTTTTCAATTAGCTTTTTTTAGTAACTAAATTTCAAATATGGGTAGATTTTGTTCAAACTTACTCTCCTTAATTTGCTACTCTACTACTGCTAATAGTTGAAGGATATCTTCAATTTTTTCCCACCTTTTGCAAAAGGGGAATTCGGTTATTTGGAAAAATTAAAGTTAAGTTATTGATAATAATTTCAAGAAGGTACCATATGGGGGAATGTTTAAGGGATCTAATTTTAATTACCTGTATTTGGATGAATAAACGTTGCCCAATTTGTTTTAGGATTGTTTAGTTTATCGAATGTACAAAGTCTACAGCTTATTTCATTTACCAACAAAACAGGTTTAGTTATTGAAAGATTGGCATAATCAAAATGTTGCCGTTTTTTTTTATGGTTTCTTCACACTTATTTGAGTGAAAGCCAATTAGGTGAAAACGTTACCTCTCAAAGCATGTTTCCTAGATAATTGAGATTGCCTCACAGATTACTAATTTAATTTCAAAGTTGACACCTATAAATATAAGTTTCGCTTCCTCTATCTCAGGTGGGAGTTTTACAAAAAAAAATAAACTAAATCAGAATTTTTTGACTACCTGAACAACTCATGTAATAACCTGGGTTGACCAAAATATGCAACCATTCGTCTTTATTTGAAACCATAGAAGAGCCCGTCGAATATAATAACCGAAGATGTGTGTTCAGCAGGGGTGTAATTCCCCTCTCAGGGGTTCGACCCCTTGACGACCAAAAAGGTCCCCCTTTTGTATTATTTAGGCGTCTACTTTCGCTGACCAACTCTTCAATGTTTATAAGCACCAATATGTGTAGTTTTGAGGGTAGAGCGCGGGCCGAAAAGCGCAATTTTTTTGAATTAAACCCTCTAGAAGTGCCAAAAAGCAACTTTGTTTGGCCTGTTTTCTTCAAAAATCTACCTGCATCTACCTACGGACCGCATTACAGAATGTCCAGCAAGAATTGGCAACCAAAGAGGTTGAGCAATGGGTAAGGTCAGAATTAGAGAATTAGAGAACACAAAGCGACGTGAGAAACTTGACATTTTGGGAAGATCGACGAATGAAGAGGATAACCAGGAACTCAGGAAGCAGGGTCTAAAGCTGAATGTCATCTCGGGGAAGACCTTCGGCATGACAAGAGAAGGAACGAAAATAATGTCGATCATATCGGTCGCGGGCCATCAAGTGGTGAAGAACTTGAGCGAGACGGCGGAGATCACGCTAGTACACTTGGACATCTACGCGGACTACCTAAGAGAGAAGGATCCCAACTTGGACTCAAGAGCAGTGCGAGCGTTGCTCACAACTGGAGGTTCAAGACTAATGAAAGTAGATGGACATCACGTCGAAGTCCATGGCCCATATCCGATCTTAATGAACGTGGACGGAATAAACATTTACACCAAAGCTCACGTGACTGCTGCAGCTGACCAGGTAGGTCGGATCTACATTGGTCGAGAACAGCTTAAGATCCAACGAATCGGACACAACGCCACGCTCGAAAAGGACGCCGTCCACATAGGCTGTGAAGCCGATCTGGCCGCACATGTACTGGACGTGCAGGGTAAACAACTCTCTGTTAGACACCGGAGCAGTGGTCAGTGTCATGGCTGGACCGACATGGGTTTGGATAGGTCGGATTTGATTCCGACTAACATCAGACTGGCAGCGGCTAATCAGGGTGCAGAATACGTGACCGGAAGGACCCCTATCATCTCGTTGCAGCTAGGAGGGAGACATCTATGGATGAGTTTCCTGGTCGTCGAGAACCTTGATGAGTCCGACCAGTTCATCCTAGGACGGGATTTTGTGCGCAACTTCGATGTCACAATTCAATTCACCTCAACGACGGGTTGATAAGAATCAAGGACCCTGAGAGGAAATATGAAAAGAAACCAATTAAAAAAATCCTGATTAACCAAGTAAAGGTGCCATTTTTTCTGGATAGGAAGGTTAGGTTAAAACCACATCAGGCTGTAATAACGACTTTTAGGATGAGAAACCAAAATGACCTTAGCAACAACAGACAGGTGTGTCTGGTTCCAGTTCACAGCAGTAAAAGATCAGCTATTTTAGGAAGAAGCTTCTCACTCACTCAGAGCGGACCTGTGTGTGAGTGTGTTGTTGAGCACAGAGGCAACCACGGTGACGATACAACGAGGAACGAAGCTTGGCTACGCATTGCCTCTGAACACAGACTATCAGAGTGTGGAGAACTTTAAAAGATTAGACGTAACTAAGTGTCCATTGCATGCCAAGCAAGAATGCATATCAAAGAGGATAAGTGAATTGAATGAAGTCTTCTAAAAAATTGTTTTCAATGAAGTCAGAGACAGACGATGGGCTGTCTAGTTGTTCAAATTTTCCTGAGAGACCGACAAAAACAGAATTAGCAGCGGACAAGCCAGTCCTACTTGAGGTTGAGCATTTGAGTGGCAAGATATCGGATAAGGAACTGGATTCGCTCAGAGCGGTGTTAAATCGAAACGCAGAAGTTTTTTCAAGACATGAGACCGATATAGGTTGCTGCAATTTTGTAGAAAATGAGATTGAAATAGAGGAGGGCTCAGTCCCTCACAGAGAAGGGGCAAGGAGAATAACCCCACATAAATCAGAAGCATGCAGAAAAGAAATTGAAATGCTAATGGAGCATGATATGATCGAACCGTCGAAATCCCCATGGGCTTGCGTCGTAGTCATGGCAAAAAAGAAAGGGGGCAACTTAGGTTTGAATGCGGTAACGATAAAGGACTCATACCCGATTCCCCGCATCGACGAGAGCCTCTCCAAGTTAGGAGATGCAAAATCTTCACGACGTTGGATTTGGGCTCTGCGTTCTGGCAGGTGCCCCTCAGAAAACAGGATCGAGAGAAGACAGGCTTTGCGTGCGAACTGGGACTGTACCAATGGAAAAGAATGCCGTTTGGGTTATACAATGCGAAGGCTACGTTCCAACGATTAATGGCTCAGGCAGACACGGATGCATTAGTGGTTGCGATATCGGGCATACTTCACCAAGAGCAAGAGTGGAACGGGAGAACCGTTCTCCGACCAGTAGCCTATGGAAGTAAGGTCCTGAGCGACACTGAAATAACGTACGGTGCACCAAAAGCGGAGATGTTTGCGGTGATCACTTTCGTGGAAAAAAACAGAGCCTACTTAGGGAGTGCTCCCTTCAAGTTGCGTATGGACAATCGTGCTCTTGCCTGGCTGAAAACCTATTCAATGGACCAAAGCTATATTGGTCGTTGAATCGTGCGCTTTGACGGATACCACATGATCATAGAGCATAGAACCCGTGATAAGCACCAGAATGCCGATAGCCTCAGCAAAAAAAATTGGAATTTTATGAGCGACTAGAAGGCAAGCAGGCCAGCTAAACGGAGATTGAGGATGGATTTTCACTCCTGGACAAACAAACCTACGACGAACTGCCACTCACTAGATGGCTCGACAAGTCAGGGCATCCCATACCAGGATATCCCATACCTGAACCGGGAAATGCATCAGGACCCGGACAGAGACAGGTATACCTCTGATGAGGAGGGCACTGTAACGGACAATGCCGCAGAGGAGCTTGAACTGATAGCTGTGTCGAAACGCCCAACCAGATTACTCCCACATGGTACGGTCGTCCGTACCAATCTGGAGCCATCTGTGCAGGAAGCAACACCTTTGAATAAGATATGGTGTGTCAAGTTGATGGATGATGCCCATGCCCCGGAGAAAATAAGCGGACAATTAAACGTGGTAAAGACGTATCTGAAAGAAGCCAGATACCGGCTGTCGGATCTCTTAAGGACTCAACGAAATGATAGAATGACGAGCAATCTGAAGAGATAGGTCGAGAACGGAGCACCTGACAAAAGAGACCTAGAGGAAGACAGCTATAAGATCTTGAATCAAATTTATCTGAAAAGGAAAAATTTGTTGTACTTAAACAAAGACGGAATCGAAGCCTGTAAACGCAAGGAAGAGGACAAAGTCCTTTACAAACACAATTAAATAGTGTTACCACAATGGTACCAGACCGAATTGCATTTTCGTTCTCATGATCAGATGGGCCATCATGGCGTGGACAAAGTGTAGAACAGGATACAGAAACGATTCGAATGGCCTGGTTTGAAGAAGGCTTATGAAAAATGGATCTCTGCATGCCTGTTGTGTCAACAGGCGAAGGACCCCAGGAAGCTGAGGTTCCCCCTGCAATCAATAGAGTCATCAGGGTTCAACGACGTGGTGCAAATTGATCATCAGAAGATATGCATGATAGCCACGGGCTACAACCAAGCGTTGGTAATGATTGATCATTTCACGAATTACGCAGAGGCAGCGCCCTCTATGACAGCATCAGAGGAAGAAACGTGCGATCACTTGATAAATGTATGGATAGCGAGACACGGCTGCCCCATCACATTCCAATCGGACAATGGCAAAGCACTCGTGGGCGATCTCACGAAGGAGTTAATGAAGAGGTCGCAGGTGGCCGAGGCCCACTCGACCATCTATCACCCACAAACAAACGGCCTAGTCGAAAGACAAAATCGCCCGTTAGTATCCATGTTGAGAGTTTATTGCTCACGCTACATGGATGACTGGGATAGACACTTGTTGCAAGTGATGGGCGCTTATAACAGCACAGAACATTCCACAACGGGAATAAGTCCGCATATGATGCTAACTGGTCACGAGAAAGCTCTTCCATTAACGTTCTTCAACCCTGAGTACGAAGGAAAGAAAACAGCACCGCAAACGTACGTGTGTGATGTTATTAGAAGACAGCAGGACCTCAATGACTTATGCAGGAGGAACACACAACAGGCGTAAATCAAACAAATAAGGAGATTTGATAAAAGGAGTGAGAATGCAAAAGCCTACTCGGTTGGAGATAATGTCTGGGTGTTCCAGGAAGTAGTTCCACCAAAAGGAACCAAAAAGTTATTGAAAAAATGGCGTGGTCCATTCCAAATAACTGAAGTACACCAAGGAGGTCGTTTTTATTGATTGAGCACCGCACAATGCCTCATTAGAAGACTGGTGTATCCCAGCTGACATGCAAGAGGGAGACTATTTGATAGTGGATCCTGCCTGCGAGGTGAATGAAAGAATGAGGTGGTAGATAATTGCGATCTACCACTGGACCTGGAAGTGACCGAGTGAGTGCAGGTGGACGATGAAACTCTACCTTATGCCGAAGGGGACTAGGACTGCCCAGAACAAACTGAAGTTGACAAAGGTGTGTATAGCCTGACTTTCCCTTCACCATGGAAACACGCCAAAGCAAAAGAAGGAAAGGCAAGAAGAAGTACAATCCGTACGGCAAGAATTTTGTCATAGACAGGATAGTTTTGAGCGATATGATGGACTCGCTAGTGGGACTTGACGAAGTGCTGGTGCCACAAGAGATCGACCTAGTCAACGACACGGAGCGGGATTGGATAGACGATTGCTCTGAACCGGAAGTGGAGTTCGAACCGGAGAGTGAACAGATGCATGATCGAGAATTGACAATTTTGCGAGTACTCGAAGCGCTCCATGATCTGCCAGCAGACCCGAAAGAGACCATCTTGACGATTCAAGGGGTCGACCAAAAAAGCATCAAATATATCAGTCACGACAATACTGAATCCAACTGTGTCGCTCCAGATGGTCCTTTACACGTTCCAGAATCCAATCTCATTCTGCGCAATTTTGGGCGATCGACGTGGACCCACACCGAAAATCTGATAATCAAAAAATTAAACTCGGACAGGGAAACCGGAGAGCTGGAAACGGAGGGTGAAAATGCTAAAAAAAAAAACTACCTTTCGGACGAGTTTTTGAATCTTACTTTGATCTACCAAACCGTAATTCAAACAATGTCGTCGTCACGGACAGCGATTTTATACTCACGGAACGTACATGCGCCATAGCAATAACTGCGGATGTAAGCTTTAAGACAGCACTAGCGCCCGAATTTAATAGAGAATATAAGAATATCGTGTTTTTGTGAAAGCAGAGGCCTGGTGCGGGAGGGATGATAGCGCTGCCCCTTGTCGCATCACAGATACCAGGGAAATATTTGTGTTTTCTTGAAACTAAGGCCACTGACAAGCAATATGTAAATCCCGAAAACTTGGTGATGGCCTTAACTCGAGTTAGGGATTTCCTGGTTGAGAGAGGAGTGACCTCTCTCTCCCTCTCTCTTTACCAGTTCTTGATCCCAATAGGGGAAAACTGCATCCGAGAGAACTGTATGCCCTCGTACATGTAATATTTTCATGGACAGACATAGAAGTCTACTTAGATAAAATTTTTTATCTGAGCATACGCTAGAGCCACATTAGATGTTAAGTAGTCTTTGTTAGCTTTGCTTTTTAGGCACTAGGTCTAGGTTTTAGGTTGACTATTAGGGATTAGATTATTATGTGATAGTGTTGGTGTGTGGTAATTGTATGTTATGTGATTGTTGGGTTATGTTTCATGTGATGTTTATGTCGTGAAAGCCTGGAACACTCTAGGTACGAAAGGTGGCAGCGCTCAGTTGTGTTATCTTGACAAGATCGCAGGTGGACGATCCACCTTGGTGCTAGTTCTTAAATCAAGAACGAAAGAGAATTTCAATGGATAGTTTTCTAAAAAAGACGTGAATGATGTTTTATCCCAGAAAAGGGACAGCCTGGAATGATGGTTCTAAGTAGTGACTTGTTTTTTAGATCTTGATTGATCCCCCTTTGTCTATTGACCTTGAATAACCAGAAGATTGCGACAACACATTTACGAAGAAACATGAGTGACACGAACGACTTGTTGGATTTCATCTCAGTGAGCCTAGGAAAGACTCTAGACGAGATATACCAACGCCTGGTGGATTGCATTTTCTCACTAGAAGACCCGGAGTTGGCGATGTTCACGGTCGCACTCTAGAATGCAATGGGAAGAGAAGGCCGTGGGGACCGCCCCACGGAAGTGGTCTTAATGTTGGCCTAAGGGGAGTCCGGGACCGCCGAGAGAGGCCAAAACCGACTGATGAGATGTCGGCGAGGAGAAATGTCAGGCCATGACTTGGCTCGTGAGCCGGGACTAGGTGAGCAGAGGGATCACCGGCTAGGTGAGATGCCCTTACCTGTTCGACCAGTGCAGCCTCTTATCGGAGCGAAACGATCACGTGATGGGCCTGGCCCGTCACACTCAGCAGACTCTCCAACGGCTGCTCCTCCACAGAAGAGAGTAAAGATGAATGAGATGGAGATTCAGACATCGGAGACTATTGAGACATGGGAAAAGAAAGAAGAAGACCAGAGGGAGCTGTATGCCAAGTTGGAGGAGTACAAGGCAATAGATCGAGAAAGAGAGGAGTAGAAATACGAGGACACGCGAATAGCTCTCAAAGAGGAAAAGATAAGACACCTGAAATAGTTATTTATGGCGAGGATGAGCCAAGTGTCACCGGAGGTTCTGGCAACGATGAATCCTGGGATGGATCCAGAGACACACGGCCCAGGACGAAGGCACAAGAGCTGTGCGCCTCGAGCGAGCCCGAGGCTCCTCAGCCGACGTCACAATCTGCCTCGAACTCGAGGATAACAATACCGGATCCTTCAGATACCTATTTGGCTCCCCAGTTTCAGGAGTCAATTAATCAGGTAGCCAGAGCGACGATGGACGAGATCAACAGGACCAGTCTCCGGACGCTGGGTAGGATCGTCAATTCCCAACGCCTTGATCGCTCCTTGAGTAGCTCGGAACGAACCTCACGGGCAATAGTGCCAACGGAACCCGCACGTGGCGAGACTGCTTTGAAATCTCGCGTAGTGGCATCAGAAAGAACGTGGCGGTACGCAACTTATTTGTGCAAGTAGCTGCCGAGCATCCTCGAGCCTGTTTGAACGGCATGAGCTGGAACCCTGCCTTGAGCAACCAGGCAGTTCCTGCAGGCAGTCGTCATTTGGTTGTTGGAGAAAGCCTGGTGAGGGAATTGAACAAGATCATCGTGAGTGGTTAGACCACTGTTATATCTTTTGGGGGGGCCTCCGTGGCTCAGGTCATTAAAACAATGGAGTTCCAGGACGAGGATCACTTAGATATGTTGGTGATAATGCCCGGTACCAATGACGTTTCAAGGGTCCTTGTTACCCCAGAAGGCAAGTAGGACCCCTACTAGTCTGCCTTTTGAACGAAATAAAGGAGAAATACAGACCCCGACTCGTGGTGCTGTGCACAATACCGCAGAACCCGGAGGTGGGCACGCCAGTGGCGGACTTCATGAATGGCAACGTGTCCCGATGGAACGATAAGACCCGTAGTCTGGTGAGAAGCAATCATAGCGAGCTGCGACTCGTGGATCTTGAGAATACGCTGCGCATGACTGATCATCTCGCACTCATTAGATACTCTGCAAGGGAGACGCTGGATAAACGGTGTATTTCAGACACAGATAGAGGCGATAGAGAAAGAACTGAGGACAACCGACTCACTGGCTCGGACCAGTTCGACCAGTTCAAGGGGTAATGTGCTGGAACCATTCGCTAATCGTCTCGGGCCCCTGGCAATGGAAACGGGTGCAACCGCTTCCGTTGCTCCAAGCTCAGATGTGAGAAAAAGGTTGGGGACTGCTCCTCCCCCTAGAAGACAACAATTGGAGAGCCGAAGAGGGGAGGCCAATTGATCAGAGTTAGACTAGCTCTCAGACTATATCGAGGACGAGTAACCCGCCCGCCACGGCAACTCCTGCTTCTACAGGAAGTCCATCGACGAGCGCCACGCCGGCGGAAGGAGTTGAGCCAAGCAGTGTGCTGATTTGGAACCGTCCAGATCCCAGCGGTTGGGGACAGTATAAAACGGATTTGTTTACGAGTTTGAACATGAACAAGTTGACATGTCGAGCAGATGCAAGGAGGATGATGGGTGGAGACGGTCCCACAGTGTCGGGATTATATCGAATACCGGGCGTGAACTGGCTATTAGCGGAATAGGAACATTTTAGCTCCGCGACCACGCTCAGGTTTGTGGACCTTGATGGATTGCCTCAAGACAAAACCTTTGGACCCTTGAATACCCGATCTTTTAAGGACGTCCCTCGGAGAGCCAGGGAATTGACACCACCTTCCCAGATGGGCAAATTTTTGACGGAGAAAAAGCCCAACAATAACCATCATAAGATGTATAGGCAGTTCTCCAAACCACCCGGCCAAGCGCCTGGTGAATATTCGAGAGACTATCCCAGAGCAACCTCGGTGGAGAGGGCGATAATAGATACAAGGGACTGAGGACACCAGCGTGATATAAAGGCTGCCAAGCATCTGATAGTGGCCAGTTCAGATTATCTCTATACGCCTCGTTCCCTCTTTTGGCCCGACATGATTTTCTTGACAGCGCCTAAATTGGACTGGGGGCAATCAGTAGGCATGAAGATAAGCGAGCGGAGGACGGTCAGCATGGATCCGCAGGTGATAGTAATTGCCGGCTCGAATGACCTCCTGCAGAGCAGTGGGTTGTTGTCCCGTCTGACAGATGGATCAGTCCCTAGCTTTGAAGTCATAGGGGAGGCTATTATGACGTTGCACTCAGCCATGACCGAGGTAGAGACATCAGTGCAGCGACACTTAAGAACGTGGTGAAGATCATTTTTGTGTTATCACCGGGATACGCCGCATTACCAGAACCCTTGCATTTTGTGTACACAATGGTTACAACTCTAGCAGAGGGACGATTCAGCGTGAGCATACCCGCGCCGAACAGGATGGTGGATCCTAACAACTACTACCCACCCCGCTCGGAGCTTCCTGCCATCTGGGCTGACATTTCCAATGTCATCCAAGGATTCAAAGATTGCTTCAACGAAGTCC